GCAACAACATAAAGCAGCAACGATCGCGTCATATAAAATATCGCATTTGCTAGCTAAGAATAAAAAACCCTTTACAGATGGAGAATTAGTGAAAGAAGCCATGTTAGAAGCTGCTGATTAATTTTTTGAAGAATTTAAAATTAAAAAGGAAATAGTTTCAGCTATAAACACGTTGCAATTATCAGCACGAACTGTTACTAGAAGAATTGAAGTAATTGCGGAGAATTTGGAGGCAGAATTAGCAAATGATATGGAAAATTGTATTTTCTTTTCGCTACAGATGGATGAATCGGCAGACGTGACAAATATATCACAATTAGCAATTTGCGTGAAGATGGTATTTTCTGATTTTACAACAAAAGAAGAATTCCTTAAAGTTCTGCCATTAAAGGGAAGCACCAGAGGAGAAGATATCTTTTCTACTTTTAAAAAGTATATAACAGATGTAAAAATTACCTGTACAAAAGTTATCGTCAATTACAACAGACGGGGCACCAGCGATGACTGGTAAGAAAAAAGGATTTATTGCCTTATGTAGACAGGATTCCTTATTCCCGAAATTTATTTCTTATCATTGCCTCATACATCAGGAAATGTTATGCGCAAAAACAATCGGTTTTCAACACGTATTTACGATAGTAACAAAAATTATTAATTCCATAAGATCGGGAGCTATGCAACACAGATTGTTTAAATTACTTTTAGAAGATGAGGACGTTCAGTTCACAGATCTTCTTTTACATACTGAAGTGAGGTGCTGAGCAGAGGTATTAACAGATGTAAAATGTACTGTACAAACAGTGTATTAGTTTCAATTATCCCGCTGACAGTGAGATTCGTGCCGTGATTAAAATTTTGAACGCGAGGAATGTTAAACCGAAAACCGCCGAAATTTATCGTCAAGTGACAGAAGTTTACAGTGACTACGCGATAAGTGATGGAATGGTGAGAAAGTGGGTAAGAATGTTTAATGCAGGTCAAACAAATGTCTACGCCGAGGCTCGGAGTGGTTGGCCATCTGTTGTCACCGATGATTTGGTAAGGAAAGTTGATGAAGCAATTCATGAGAACAGACGCTTCACAATGACAACTCTTTCAGAGGCCTTTCCACAAATTTCACATACTGTTATGTTCAAAATTGCGTCTGACCGCTTGAATTATCGCAAACTGTGTTCCCGATGGTTTCCAAAAATGCTCACTGATGTTCACAAAACAAAGCGACTTGGTAGTGCCCTGACATTTCTCTCGCGGTACAGTGATGAGGGAAAAAACTTTTTAAACCAAATTGTGACAGGTGATGAAACTTGGGTGTGTCATTTCACACCAGAATCGAAACAACAATTGATGGAGTGGAGACTCACTCATTCTCTGAAAAAACAAAAGTTCAAAGTGACAATGTCATCACAAAAAATCATGTGCACTGTCTTCTGGGATAGGAAAGGCATTTTGCTTACTGAATTTCTTCCCAGAGGTGAAACCATTAATGCGGCACGATATTGTGAGACTTTAACAAAACTAAGGCGTGCCATTCAAAACAAACAAAGAGGAATCCTCAGTAAAGGAATTGTGTTGCTCCATTACAATGCTCGGCCCCATACTGCTGGTGTCACTCAATCGTTAATTCGACAGTTTCATTGGGAGCAGTTCAATCACCCGCCGCCCGGACTTGGCGCCGTCCGACTATCACTTGTTCCTGCACATGAAGCGCAAGCTTGGTGGCAAGCGCTTTGGATCTGACGATGACACGAAAAATGCTGTGGAGTCGTGGTTATCGAAACTGGCGTGAAGTTTCTTTGACCATGGTATACAAAAACTGGTCACCCGCTATGACAAGTGTTTGATCATTGGCGGAAACTATGTTGAAAAATAGTTTAAGACATGTATTTTCATGTAAAAATAAAATTGGATTCGAAAAAATTGTTTTACTATTTTTTTTTTTTTTTTCAAAACGGTACTTAGTTTCCGAATACGCCTCGTACTTGAGCGGTTTATCATGCTTTTGCCACAAATAAAGGAATTTATTGCATCAAGAGGCAAATTTTACGAGCAATTAGAAAATAAGGATTGGCTAATCGACCTCGGATTTCTGACAGATATAACGGCAAAGGTGAATGAATTAAATTTAAAAATACAAGGGAAAAATCAGCATATCGCTGACATGATTAGTGCAGTAAATGCATTCAAATGCAAGTTAGTGTTGTTGAAATCCCATCTATTGAAAAAATCATTATCACATTTCCCAAATATAAAATATACTGTTAGATTTTGCAGCATTAGAACCCATTCTAAGATTTTTCATAAATCTATTCAATGTTACTGAAGATGATGTCCTTGAAATAGTTTCAGTGTATTTCGAGTTTCATAATATCAAAAACCTAGAATTAGAAATAATAAACTTGCAAAGTGATATTATTTTAAAAGTGCATAGTAATGATAAAAATGTTTAGGAACTTAGTCGATGAAAATAAGTATCCTATTTTAAGGAAATATGCGCTAAAAATTTATTCATATTGTGCAACTACATACAATTGCGAGTCTTTGTTCTCAAATATGAAATATTTGAAATCAAAATACCAAACAAAGCTTAATGACTCACATTTAGATAATTGTTTAAGGACCAGGAACTCTAAATATATCCCCAATTATAAGAAATTAACTGAAAATATGAACACCCAAGTTTCACACTGAATTATATGTATCATTACGTATGACACCAACAAAATAAATTTATAAAAAATCTGTTTTTTTAATGCCTATTTATACCTGTTGAATATCTGTAAAATATGCGCCCTCGGTGATTTTCAAATTTAGTACTGCGCCCTTAATGACAAAGAGGTTGCCGACCCCTGCATTAAAGTCTCTCTTATGCCCGAAATGCAAATTGACCTAAACCACCCCTGTCCATATTTTGTCTTGCATTGGTTGTCAGAGGAGCCAACTGCTTTTTGGTAAATTACAGACATACTCAATTACAGCACATTAAAAGGAGGAGGAATAAGGATGAAAACTAGTCACACAAACTTCTAATGAAATGCAGGTGAAAAATATCAGAAGGAAATGGAATGTGAATGTAATATACAGGAAAAAAGAGCACAGTATTTTTATGAACGAAAAAAGAAACTTATGATGAAATTTAGAATGCAGCTGCTACCTAACACTTTTAATGAGAAATTTGACAGTTCTACAGTATATTCACAAAAATAAAGCCACTGAATGGAGGGGAGGGTAGCAAGTTAGCTTATTAGCTCCTAAAAAACAACTTTCTTTTAAAATTCAAAAACACATAAATAAATAATTAGCGAGACACCCACAGTTGTGTGATGCCCCAAATCTGAGAAGGATTATATAAGATATTTTTCTCACATTTACAGCAAATCTGCACAATATTTATTACAAATTACATTGTGACCTTTGAGGGTAAAATTAAATGTGGATGACAATATACTAGAACAATTCTATGACAAGCATAAGTAAAAATTAATAAAAACAAGTGTAATTTCTCAAAGAAACAATACTTCTCTACTCTCAATACTCCAAATCAAATTGTTAGTTATTACGACAGTAATTACCTGCCTGTTAGCAATTCCCTGTTGATAGATGTGATTAACAACAGTTGTCCTTTCTTCTGGTATGGAATAATCTAATACTTACTTTTATTTCTTCAGAATAGTAGGAGAAATCTGGGATTATTGCCAGTGGCATAAATAGGGGTATGAAAAATATGCAATGCATGCAGACCCAGAGCTTTAGGAAACTCTTGGGCATCCTATCTCATTCCTGATTCGGTTGGTGTTCTTGTCTTGGAATATAACTGATTTCAGATGAGCATTTTATTTTGCCAGCAATTAAAAAAGTAAATCCAAACTATGGAATTATGCCTAGGAACCTTCTGTAGGCCCCTTAATCCTAACTTTTGGTAAGTCTTGAAGTAACTTAAACCAGTCCTGGCTATTGGAAAATTTAGTAAGGAAAGAAACAAATAATAAGAATGTTACGCAAAACGTTATCCTTGACTATTCTACTCATATTTTAGCACTACACATTCTCAAGACCTTCCCTTTTCAAAATAAATTCGGGTACTTTACAATTAGCTGCCCCAGATGACATGACTGTTAGCATAAGCGTGTAATTCTTATGTGTTTTGGTATAGGTTTGAATGCTAGGCAAGGTATGGTTATACCTGACGAAGCAGTTCCTTTGTGTCATTGAAGCACTTAAAATCTATTAAGCTAAATGTCTGTTGCAAATAACTTTTAATTTATGATTTCCCATTTGTATTTTGCAACATGTGTGGCAATACGATTTTTATTTTTATTTTTTTTTCCAACGTTTTCAGTTATTGTCATTGGTTTACTTTACCATGCTTACCATGTAAAATTTACTGTACTTGTAATGATTTTGTATTTCAGTATATGGTAATGCAGATGAATCTCTACTTATTTATTTGTCTCCATTCCCAACGCTAGACTTCATTAATGTCGTCTGCAGAGATAGGTCCAAAGAGAATGAAAAAGGATATAGGATCCTAAGTTTTTATCCTGGACAGGCTCCTTGATCAAAACTGGGATGGAACTCAGACACTAATACTGTACTTTGAAAAAATTAAATTATCCAGTCCAGTTCTGTATAACTATGCATAATTTATAAAAATTTGGGAGAGTCCAGAGTTAAGTGCTCTCTTTTTTAGATAAATTTCTGAATATTGCTTATTTTATGTTAAGTTAAAAAAATTAGAAATTAAATTTAGAAAATATTTCACAAAAATTTATAATATTCTTAGCATACTAGTGATATCATTATATTTCTTTTAGTATTATTGACTAATATTACCAAAATTTGATTTTGAATTTATAAAAACTGTTAACATAAAATGAAAATGTTTTTTATCCAAAAGAAATTTTTTAGAACTACTCATCCTGAAATAAAACCTTACATTTTAACAGTTAGTATAAAAAGCTTAGCAATCTTAAAATAAAAATCTAAGCAGAAAAATCACTTACCCATTTGATCTTTTATTTTCTTTTGATCTTCCCATCGTATATTATCAAAATTAGCAATATCAGCAGTTGTCTTTACTTTTTTGTCTTTGTCCTTGAAAAAACAATCAGAATGATGCCATACTGGAAACTTTCCATCAAACTGTGTAGACTAAAAATTGAATAATAACTAAGTAAATAAAAAATAAGTAAGATTTAGACTTTCTTTTTAATTATCATTTAATTAAGCATGATGTAATTTATGCAAATACTTGTAACTTTTTGCAAAATATTTTTTTATATTTCTACAAAATACACTTTTGAAATTCTAGATCATTTTTTTAGAATGATTTGTTAATGTCATTCCCTACCATTAGCTATGATATAAGCAGAAGGCTGTGTGAAGTCATGAGTTAGTAGTTAATTATTTAATCTAGCTTGTTTGCAGACTGAAGTATTTATCAGTTTATCACTTAATGATTGTAGTGTTTCTTTGTGAATGATTTAACAATCCTATTCGAGTTTATAATTATTATGTTGTATGTAGATCTTTTAATGTGGTTCTAATGCACTTTTCGGACTAAATTATTGATATTTACTTCTACAAAGAAGCATTATCACTCATCCTTGTTCTTCCTTAATTTTATCATCCTGATATGCAAAAGAATGCCTAGAATAAGGAAGAGAGTTTCCTCCCACAAAGGTGGGCATTCATTATAACTATTATAGGCTTTGGCCCCTATTAATTTCAGAATATGTTTTTTATCCATAAATCAATTTGATCCATACTCACTACTAAGATCTTAGAAGCTTTTTCTATCTTATAGAATCCTAGGCAAATCATATTTTAAAATATTGCAGAATTAAATGCATTCTTAATAATAATATGCATTTTATTTTAATAGAAATAAATTATCCCTTAATAAAATATTAAGCACCTTGAGGAAATTTTTCAACATTTAAAATAAAGTGCACAGTTCTGTAATCGATAATGCCATAATTACATTATTCACAATATTTTGCATCTTTGAAAATTAGTACTCCAAACAAAAAAATATAATACAGTGATTCAAACAAAAAAGCAGAAAAATATTTTTTTTTTAATTGTTGAAAACCCGATAACTGACATACTATCTGTTCAGTACTAATGGCAAACTAATCTATTTTTGTAGACCCATTTTCCCGCGATCACCGTCTTTTCCCGCGCAAAATTTGAAGTTCGGCGAGTCGGGGGTATCACTGCATAAGAAACCGCTATCCCCGAGTAATCTCGGGAAATTAAGGTGAAGAACTAAAGAATTTAAAACTTTTATAATAAACTCTGACGACTCATATAATTTAAATGATGCGAGGTCTTTAAATTTTCTATACTCTTCTGTTATCGGGACCGGATTCAGAAATGTATGTACGTATGCATTTATATATGGATGTATGCGTATGTATACACACACATACATATATACATGAACATATACATCCATCCAGACATGCATATATATTTCTGAATGTCCCGATAACAGAACAGTACCAAATATTCACAATAAAAGTAAATTGAAATCAGTTAAAAATGGCACGGAAAAAGAAAATAATTACCTGAACCATTACGCCCATTCGCAGACAATCTTTCTCAATTTTATTCTTGCATATTTTACACGATGCTCGACTGCTTTTTGAATATTCAATAATATACGGTAATTCAGTATCCATATCGGCACCTCAAGCTACTCTTCAATCTAAAAACTGTGCGTTAAACTATAACAGCTCACAATGCAATGCCGATACGAATAAGCAAACGAATCTTGGAAGAGAAAAAATGATGCCCACGCAAATCCTCTTTCTACCCAATCATCATTAAAAATAGAAACGAATTAAATAAAAACACAAAACAGAGTAGCTGTAGCTTAAATTGGCGCTAGTGATAAGTCGCCAAATACGGTTTAAGTAATCGCAAAACTGATATTGCAACTAAATTGGAACTCCGCAACTTCGTAAACCTATTAAAATGAAAAGAAAACTATTAAAATAGTAAGTGTATTTGAGGTTACAAATAAATACTGCTTCGGATAAAAGCCTTAATTTTGTTTTGAAAATATTATTTTAAAAGACGACAGTTAGAGCGAGTTTCCTCAGTATCAATATAGTAATATTCACATTAGTTCCATTCGCCTCACCATTGATTAAAAATTGCCCATATTAAAATAATAATAAAATAAATAATTAAAATAATAATAAAAGATATTTTATTAAAATATCTTTTAATAATAATAATATTATATAAAAATAATAATAAAAGATAGACAAATATTAAAATAATAATAAGATAGACAAAAATGGGGAACTGCATCAGTGGGAAAAAATGTCTCCCAACAGAATTCTAGAAAACTTGCAAAGATGAAATCTGCGGTCATTTAGAAATCTCGCCAAACATGGGGATAAAAACTGCCAGTAAGCCTAGATTATAGCGGAAAATCGAAAAGTAGGTAAGACGGGCGGCTAAAACCCGCCGGGAACTGAAGAAATTCAACCAATGAGAATAAGCTACCGCCGGAGACTGTTTTTGGCGACCAATTTTTATGCCAGCAATTGTTGTTTTGGATTTATTTTCCGCTCATATTCCTCTTTTCGTATCTTTTGATTACGTCTTTTTTGCATCAATTTATAATAGTTTTCTAACTTTTATTGGTATAAAAGACAATGTAGTGAATACGGAAAATTCGGTGGATTATCACGTGAAATGTGTAATAAAATTTCTAGCCTGTTCCCGCAAAAAAAGGTGTACGGTGTTGTATCGCAAAAGTTTTATGCTAAATTGTACATTTCACTTTATTTTGTGGCACTGAAAATTACAGAAAGAATTTATTTTTTGATCATCAAGAAAAAAAATGCACATGAAAAAAGGCTTATTAATTTGGCCTGTGCAGAAGATGTGTTGCTTTTTTCTTTCTTAATATATATAAATATATATAAGTATTTATTAGGTACTCAAATTTAGCCAACAAAGCCACATGCAGAACATTATATATGTATTAGAAGATTCCTAAATAATAATAAATAATTTGATTGAACTTTTTCTAAAATGCATTACGTTTTTGTGTGATATTTGATTTTTAAGAAATGTAGCATGTTGAATAAATTGATAGTAAAAATCTCAAATGTATTGTATTTTTGAAAAGGTTAATATGAAGTTTTATTAAATTATTTTGTTTATCTATTAAAATCTGGAATTCTTTCCCAATTTCAAAAGAAGGATGTGTGAAGGATTAATGTGTAACAAATAGATTTTTTGAAAAATTGTCATTAGCATAACATGAGGAGTGTAAAATGGGAAGATCTTTATAATGTAATATAATGCAGTTGATAATCATCTGAAAAAGAGCCCATGAATGGTAAGACTGCTGAACACTGATAGTTAGGTTTATATCCTAACTATATATTTGGACACCTTTTGCTTAGCTTATCTGGTCTGATGATCTGTATAAAATGGTAAATGAAAAACAAAGTATTTGTATCCAGTATTAAGTCTGATCTGCAAACAAGAGTACTGTGGCTGTGGAAACCGACATGCCAGTGAAATATATGTGTCATGTAGATATTACACAAAATACATCAGCTAGAGTACTCTTATCAAGCAGTATGGGGACAGGTACCATATAACCAAATATGTACATATCAAACATTTGTAATTATGTATTTAAAATTATAGGCTTCCAATACAATTATAATTTATATTTCTGTAATACTTATGAGTCTTCTCTGAAACATACTTATTTTGCTTAAATCTACTTCCAAAGTACTTTATTTTGATACAACCCATGGTTTAGAAAAATTAATGTTTCTGACATTCAAGAGCAGTTAAAAGTCATACTTAACTGACAAAAACATATAAAAGTAAAGTAAGGCAAAAATAGCAGCTTAACATAAAATCTTGTGTCAGTTTTAAGAAATAACTGACGTAGGTCCCTCTTCTTCAATAAAAATGAAAAAAGGTTTTTATTGCTGGCCTTTTGAAGAACAGATATCAGATAACACTCAAAATTAATAAGAATTATACAAATTCTGCATCATTCTAAGCCTTCTTGATTTATTTTAATCTTGAAATTCATGACCTGACAAATTTTGTGACAACTATATATTTTTGAGAACCTGGGACCACAGGTGGATTTGTTCGAACAGCATTCCAAGTTCTTCGATTACATGCTAAAAATGACTCTGCATGAAAAATTTACAAATTAAATTCGTCAAAAACTTTAGAAAGTGAAATCTAATGCACTCAGTAAATTTGTTTTTTCTGTGTGAGGAAATCAGCTTTTTCATTACCATCAGTTCTACAATGGAAATGAGCCTGCTTGGCAATTAGTCTGAGTTGAAAGTGTCTTGAAATTTCTAAAGATGTCTGCAAATATAGCTTTGATATATATACAAGTGAAATCTATTTAGCCTATTCTTAGTATCAGTAATATTAGGTGTTCAACATTAAATGGGGTAAAAAAGCCCATTATGATATCTTCAGTGATGAGATGTACAAAGTTTGCACGCGTCCTTTGCTCAATTTGTCCTTAGTTCTTTTTGTTTGCTTATTACTAATTCCAGGGAAAAACGTCTTGCATGTTGTAACCGTACTTTAACATACGTTAAATTTTACATTAAAACATGAAATATAAATAAATTATTTTAGGATTTCCATCGGGATGGTTTTAACATGAAAACTGCATAATGGAATTCCTAATAGTGTAAAGGAAGGTATAGTTATTATAAAGACTATTAGTATTAATAGAGGTGAAGCTAAGCAGGCTTTAAGCTTAACGAAAAGTGTTTCCACAATAAGACCTTTGACTCACATGAAGTTTTAGATTTAAAGAGAATGCTAAATGGGGAAACCTTTAGCAAAATAGAAAATTTTTGAAAAATCTCTGCTGGTTCTTAAAACCTTACAAATGATCAACTGATGTGAGAAGAAAAGTGAGGGGCAACTTCTGGCACAAATTGTGCACATCATAAAATTTATTTGCTATTTTATGTAATTTCCATGATATTTCTTATTTAATTTTTTTTTCATGCACAGTTACTATTTGTTTTCCGTTTTGTAAAAATTAAAACATTTAAAAATTAAACATAATTTGGTTTTGAATTTTATAAAATAAAGTGTGTGCTCTTTGTTAATATTTAATAGCTCACCACTAGATATTTTAATCAAAAATTTTATCTAGGTTGATAAATTACAATTTAATATATATTGCTCAAAATATCAGATTATGTAGCATAATATGAATATTTTTTAATAAATTTTTAAACTCTGTAAATTTTCTTTTTTAATACTATATTTTTAAAATATTTTTTGCGCATGGATCATATGGATAATCACAAAATTTAACTTGAAGTTCAAAATTTCAAGTGTTTGTTTTCTATGTATAAGTAAGTTGTTTTTATCAATTTAACACTTCATCAGTCATTTCTTAACATATTAAATATAGCATTGGTCCCTAGGAACCAACCTTAAACCAAGCAAAATAGAATTGTTATTTAACATGTTAGATATTAGGAAAACATAACATTAATGTAAACCATTGTAAAACAACAAATGATTATTACTAATTATTGTAACTAAATGCACACTTATACTCAGATACCACCCATTTGTCTTAAAGTCGTTTTTGACTCTTATACAACACTGATATAATAAACTGAATGATGTTAATTTATTAAATCTGCTTGGAGAATAACAATTATAAACAGAGTCCTTTGTGTGCAGTTATTCTGCTGCTAAGAACAATTATTCCAGATGAAAAAAAAAAGTTTCCCAATCAGTTTCAATATAAAGAATAAATTATGATATATCATGTAATGATAACTTCATCCGAAGATTCTGGAGCAGACTACGGTGAGAAACTTTCTATAAAATGGTCACAAAATTTTCACACTGAGAAAAATTATTACTATCTTCCATAATTAGTATTCATCAGCAGTCGAGTGGATAAGACTAAGAAGCACTAATAGTTTGAACACTGGTGGACAGGCTAGCTGCATGGGATATTTCTCTTGTGCCGCATGAACAGAAGTCATATTCTTTTAAACATATACTTCATGAAAGTCTTCTACCCTTAAGAAGATACTGTTTTCCTCCTTTGCAATAATGAATTAAATAAATTACTACCATTGATACAGAACTTTTTAAAAAAAAGAAAGAAAACACTTATACAATCTCTTACCAATTGAAATATTTTTATGCGTGCTCTAATATGCATAATACAGAATTGTGAAAATTCACCACAATTCCACAATCAGAAATGATAGCAAATTATAGGAACATAGGCAGCAGATGTGTAGACTACAATATACAATTTGTTGCTCTTTACAAAATAAAAATTAGAGGCATCCAATGGTGATAGCTGTTGTTGGAATATTTTATTTGTACAGAAAAAGAAAATGCTTTGGATTTCAAGAAAACTTATACAGAATTTCTGCTAGGGATTAATACATGACATCTGAAATCATAAGCAAGTGGAATTAAAATTGCAGCTTAAAGACTGTGTGATTTCCTAAAATATAATTACAAACTCTGGAGACTAATGAAGGTGATAAATTACTGCATATTACTCAGAAAAGTCTTGGCAATGAAAGAAAAGAATGTACATAGTAACACATACGGTGTAATATAAAGTGTAAAATACCCCACAGATTCATAATGAATAAAAATTACTTGATTGTGCTAATGTTCCAAGACTTTAAAAATTACATCTTTATTTTTACATAACACAATGAAATGAAACAGAATTATTTCGATGGAGAATAATGCATAAACAAGTTTCATGTTAATTTTTTCAATTATTATTTTTCTTTTGGGAGTTACTGGGTTACCTGGGTTATTTTATGAATTATCCCACATCAGCATTTTAATATACAGATT